TTGTCCTCACCATTGTCCCCACTGGCTTGCTCGGATCGGGACTTGTGGAGCTGTGCTTCTCTGGATTTGCTCATCAATGTTTGAACTTTCAGCAGTGAAATTTAAACCACACTGAACTAAACCAAACTAAACTAAACTTCTACTCTGAAATCTGGACTTTACTAGAGCTATAAGCTGCTTTGACACAATCTAAATTGTAAAAGCGCTATAGAAATAAACATGAGTTGAATTGAATTGACTTATTTAGACATTAGGCTGTAAGAATTTAATGTTGGTCAAGCTCCTGCACTTTTTACAAATAATCTGCAAGCAGAAAAACCGTAAACAAATCTCAAATTGTGTCAACTCTGTCCTGGACAAAATTCATAGTATATTTTCATTGTAATGTGATTATAAAATGTATATTTTCAGAAAGGTCATAAGTCCCTTTAGCAACCCGACTTTTTAGATTATTGAAAAAAGTCTATTTATAATAATGAAATAATGGACAAAACATTTATTTCCCAATAAATTATGCAATTATTGCACATTCTTTTAAAAATAAAACCCAAGATCTAAAATATTTTGTCAAACTTTGAAAATGGCCCTTATTGGTTATTTAAGAATTCACACAAGATGCTTTGCTGAGGTTATAAATAATTAATTTATTTTTATAAAAGTTGAATATGACAGTGAAAAAACAAGATGACTGGGTGGACAAAAGCTTTATTTAGTGAACTAAATATGGAGGAACATTTAAAAAATAACAGGTACAACATGAAATATTAAAGGGTTCATATAAAAGGTTTGTAAAAGAGTTCAAGAATTTAACTTCTGTCTTTACTAACAACTGCAAACCACTGAGCCACCATGCCACCTCCACTTCTGTTATCAATTTATTAATTTATTCATTTTCTTTTCGGCTTAGTCCCTTTATTAGTCAGGGGTCGCCACAGCGGAATAAACTGGCAACTCATCCAGCATATGTTTTACTCAGCGAATGCCCTTCCAGCTGCAACCCATCACTGGGAAACATCCATACACACTCATTCACACACATACACTACGGACAATTTAGCCCAGTGTTTCTCAACCACGTTCCTGGAGGACCAACAGCACTGCATATTTTCAATGTCTCCTTAAACACACCTGATTCAGATCATTAGCTCATTAGCAGAGACTGAACGAGCTGTGATGGTTGTGACAGACAAAGAAGAGATCTAAAACATGCAGTGTTGGTGATCCCCCAGGAACGGGGTTGAGAAACACTGATTTAGCTTACCCAATTCACCTATACTGCATGTCTTTGGACTTGTGGGAGAAACTGGAACACCTGGAGGAAACCCACGTGAACACGGGGAGAACATGCAAACTCTACACAGAAACGCCAACTGACCCAGCCGAAGTTGATGGGAAGTAGTTTTAGTAAATTAAAACTGTGTCAGTCCAGTTTTCAAAGTTGAAGTTCAGTTTAGTTCAGTTCAGTATGGTTTAAGTTTCGTTTTAAGTACAAACACTGAAGACCAAATCCATTAATGCGCAGCTCCACAAGTCCCAAATCAAGCATCATCAGGGAGGCTATTTCAGAGTTTAGGAGCCATAAATGAGAAGGCTCAACCTCCTTTAGTAGACTTTGCTATTCTGGGTACTACCAGAAGCCCTGAGTTTTGAGATCTTAAAGAGCCGGTTTGATTGAAGCGAGGGAGAAAGTTGGTTAGATAATCAGGAGCTAGTTTATTTAAAGCTTTATGTAAGAAGTAATATTTTACAATCAATATAGAACACAATAATCAGCCAGTGTAAGGAGGATAAAATTGTGGTGATATGATCATATTTTCTAGAGCTGGTAAAAACTCTGGCAGCTGCATTTTGTACTAGCAGAAGTTTATTAATAGAGGATACAGGGCAACCAACAAACAGAGCCTTGCAGTAATCCAGCCTAGAAGTCATATAAGCATGAACTAGCTTATGATATAATATAATAGTGTGCAAGATAAGACTGAAAGAATAAAGTTGATAAACAGGCAAAAACAGTAATGAAATAAACTTTTCAAACATCTAAAATGTGAATGTTTGTGTTGAGATATATGCATTAACCACACTCTATATGCCACAAGATTAAAACAGTGGGTAAACAAACGCAGATGCATGTGTACACCCCAGTGAAGAGGTGACATTGCTAAAGATGACGCTCCCTTGCTGACATTCCAGACTCCACGGCATTCCAGGACTGTCATATAATCTGCCTAGATGCATGTTTGTTTTTCTTTCCTACTCTAGCAATCTCAACATGATGGTAATTCATCTTCTCCCAGCGTGCAGCTGATGATAGGGCTATAAGGAGCATCTCTGTCAGTGTCAAGCTTTCAGTTCATCAGAGAGGTCTTTTGATCATTTGCATGTTTTCACAATCTTTTTTTTTTTATTTGCTATGATCTTCGTATACATTAGCATAATTTCATAAACATAATTGATTCCTTTTTAGACATCTGCAATTGGAGGAATGCGAAGACATGCTGAGAGACAGATGTTGCATTTTCAGCTTATTTTTATATATTTTTACAGTTTCTTACTCTAGCATAAATCAAGTGAGAGTACATAAAATGATAAAACGCTATAAATATAACAAACAGCAGCAACCAAGAATAGAGAATTTGACAAATTATAAAAAGTTTTACCAAAATCTCTCTTAAAAGCATCATATTTACAATAAGGAACATCAAACATTGGGAAAATTGACACAAAATAACAATTTAGCAAGAGTTATTTATTGTCAAGTCTTAACAAAGACCATCAGGATACTTCCATATAAAAATATGCAATTTAAATCTACACAGTAAAACCCAAAAAGTTAAGGTGACTTAAACCATTTGAGGAAGCCGATTAATCAAAAACTAATCCTAATGAGTACTGTGAACTTAATCCATTTGAGTAAATCAAGCAATTTGAGCACAGTAAAACCCAATAAATGAAGAGAACTCAAACCAACTGAGTACTGTAAAACCCAGTAAGTTAAGGCAACTCAAACCGTTTGAGGAAACTGATTGCGACAAACCATTTGAGTAAAACAAACTAATCTATATGAGTACTGTGAACTTACTCCACTTAAGCTGAGGTAATGAGGTATTTAATTAACTCATTACCTTCAACGCTGAGTTCAAAACTCTTTTCAAATGAGTAGAATTAACTTTTAGTCAATTTTATAATTTTATCCTCCTTACACTGGCTGTCTGTTAAGTTTCGTATTGAATTTAAAATATTCCTTCTTACCTATAAAGCTTTAATAAACTAGCTCCTGTTTATCTAACCAACCCTCTGTTTCGCTACAATCCAACTCGCTCTTTAAGATCTCAAAACTCAGGGCTTCTAGCAATACCTAGAATAGCAAAGTCATGTAAAAAGAGGTTGAGCCTTCTCATTTATGGCTGCTAAACTCTGGAATAGCCTGCTGCTCATGTGATATTGCTTATATAGTACATTGTTTCCAGAATGAATGGAATGAGAATGTTCCCAGACCTTATTTTTATATAACTATATTACATTGAGGACATTTTGGGCTTTGGCTATGTATGGAGCACCATTAGGTGGCAAAAATATGTTTTTTTTCCAGTGTACAATTTGAATTTTGTTGAGAAACCTTAAATTCATCAAAGTCCAATTTATAAATTCATTAGGTCCAAACGGATTTGAATGCATTATGATGGTTAAAGATGTTTGTGAATGTCCATCTTAATAGCTGGCAGTTAAATCACAACCTGTCCTTCTCCTTATTTTCTCAACTGAAAGGCAAACCAAGGTAACCAGGCCTAACGATTCAGCTGTTCGCCACACTCATCCTAGCCATCAGCACTGTACTATATTTACCAGCTTCCTGGGTTACACAAGCCCACCACGGGGTGTGCACAAGCCCTCGACCCCTTCCTCTGTCCTCCGGATAAGCTGGGTTCTCTGTTCCTGCCATAGTAAACACACAAAAAGCATGGTGCACAGACCACCGCTGTGGGAACAAACAAGGGGAGGGTCACATGTGAGACCCGAACGACAGCAGCAGACTGTTCTAGGTAACTGGAATGTACACAGCGACCTCATGGCAAACTCCAAACTTGAGACCTCGTGTCTGTCTCCACGTAACTTTGGACTGTGCCGTCTTTGAAAGAGAAACTTTGGAGAAATGTATTTGCTTTTATCCTGCTGAACTGTGCCTGATTCTCTTTGGAACTTGAGCGTGAAGAACAAGCAGGTGAGGTCCCGAGCAACCTTTTTTTTAAATATAAGAAACAAGATTACATTAATGAAATGCTTTATTGCAGAAATTGTAAAATCTGATAAAAAAAAAAAACTTTCATCTAAAAAGTTGTAAATGTCCTCTTCTATGTCCTAGTAATGTAATAAAACAATAATAGTAGCATTAGATAGTTCTAGCTATGTTGTTAGCATCGATTTTCTTATGGTAGTTATTATTACTCAGAGTTTGGGGTCTATTTTGAGGCGATGTTTTTTAAGTCCCACAGAAATATGATATAGTCTTTTTTTTTTCTTTAGGGAATACTTTCAGTCCTTGTTGTGGCATCTCAGAAAGGTGATTAATATTAAGTATAAAAAAAAAAAAACAATTAGCATCCTAAAATAGACATCAGACAGGGGCCATGTGATCTGGAGTGAAATAAAATCAGTAGCTGTCTCTGGGGTGATTAGACGACTTAGTGTTGATAATAGCCCAATGAAAGGTCTCTGTCTAAACGGTTAGACTGTCAAGGGCAAACCTACCGAGGGGATCAGAAACAGCTGGCAAGTGATACAACGGCGTTGATAAACTTAGCTTTGATCAGGAAATGTAGCCAAGTTCTACACATGCATGCATTAAAATGATTTAAGAGACACTGAAATAGAAAGCTGTGGTGTAAGAACTGAATCATGTGAGGCAAGGCAGCAAAAAGGGACCTTAAAGGAAGGGAGAACAACAGTAAACTGTAATGTCTTATTGAATGTTGATTAAACTCTGAGTTCTTTCCTTTTGCAGCATGGCTAGTACATCAACAGAGGTCTTTCCATTCAAGGACCAAGAACTCTCCACACAGCTCCTGTTTCAGCTGAACATACTTAGACAGGAGCAGATTTTTACTGATGTGATTTTGTGCACAGAAGACAAGGAGATACCATGTCACAGAAACGTCTTAGTTTCCAGCAGCCCGTATTTTAGAGCCATGTTCTGCAGCAACTTTCGGGAGAGCAGCCAAGCCAGAGTGGACCTAAAGGGGATTGCATCAGAAGTCATCGAATGTGTTGTGGATTACATTTATACTGGTTCCATCACCATAACTATGGAGCTTGTGCTGCCTCTAATGCAGGCGGCCTCCATGCTGCAGTATGGGAGACTCTTTGAGGCTTGCTCGACTTTTCTGCAGGAGCAGCTTAATCCAGAAAACTGCTTGAGCATGATCCGGCTCTCAGAGATCCTTCATTGCGAAACCCTTAAGGAGAGAGCCAAAGAAATGGCCGTGCGCTGTTTCTCAGATGTAGCTGCTTCTGAGGACTTCTGCGAACTTACCCTTCCCGAGCTAATGTGCTACCTAGAGGACGACCGACTGTGCGCTGAGGAAGAGCAGGTTTTCGAGACATTGCTTGCTTGGATCCATCATGACCCCTTCTCCCGCAGAGGAGCCATACATGACCTCTTTAAGAAGGTCCGGTTGAGGTTCATCCACCCAACGTACCTCTTCCAGTTTATCGCCAATGATCCACTTGTCCAGTCATCTACGCTCTGCACCGAGATCATCGAGTCTGTCCGACGTCTTATGTTTTCTGTTAGTGCCAAATGTACCAAAGAACTGAAGCCTCTATGGACCACACCACGTCGTTATACATGCCGAGAGACTCTGGTTGTGGTTGGAGGTCGCAAAAACAACGAACAGACTTCTCGAGAGGCACTTCTCTATGACGAACGAACTCAACGGTGGCAGTGGCTTGCTAAGCTACCTTTGAGACTTTACAAGGCGGCGTATGTTTGTATTCACAGCATTCTGTATGTGGTGGGAGGCCTCAGTCTTAGTTTGGTATCTGGAGATAGTGCAGTTAGTGCCACAGTGTATACCCTCTCATTGAAGACCAACCAATGGAGGACTGCCGAACCAATGCTGGAGCCACGGTATGCCCATCAGTGTGTCTCCTACCTTCACTTTATCTTCGCTCTTGGTGGAATCGGGCAAGATAAGCAGATATCAAATACAGTGGAGCGCTACAACAGCATGTTCAATCAATGGGAGGTCATGGCACCAATGCCCACAGCAGTCTTACATCCTGCGGTAGCAGCCAATGATCAGAGGATTTACGTGTTTGGTGGCGAAGATGCCTTGCAGAATCCAGTGAGATTAATACAGGTCAGTCATTCAGAAAAGATCACTTGTGATTCGCTCAAGTTGTGATCCCACATGACAAACCCCTCTCGTTCCTCACCAAGGTTTATCACATTTCCCGCAACTTGTGGTCTAGACTGGAAACCAGGACGGTGAAGAATGTTTGTGCACCTGCTGCTGTGATAGAAGACAAGATTTATATTGTTGGTGGTGAGTAAAATATGAGTTACTGGTTTTGATCAGCTCTAAAATCTGAAAGATGTAAAACAGGGGTGTCAAAAACCTTCTGAAGGTCATTGTCTTGCATAATTTATATCCAACCAAACTTGCTGAAGTTTCTTGTGAGTCTGAATAACTTTATTAGGTGATTCAGATGGGTTTAAATAAGATGTGAGGTAAACTCTGCAGGACAGTGGTCCTCCAGGAACAGGATTGAACACCCCTGGTATAGACTGCTTGTTAATATAAATGTCAGGTCAACCAATCACACGGCAGCAACTTAATACATTTAGGCATGTAAATGAACTGCTAAAGTTTAGAGAAGGGTTTAAACCAAGGGTGTCCAAACTCTGTCCTGGAGGGCCGGTGTCCTGCAGATTTTAGCTCTAACTTGCCTCAACACACCTGCATGAATGTTTCTAAAAAGCCTAGTAAGAGCTTGATTAGCCAGCCTAGGTGTCTGATAGGGTTGGAACTCAACTTTGCAGGACACAGGCCCTCAAGGACCAAGTTTGCACACCCCTAGTATAAACAGGTCAGAGCCAGCTCCAAGTAGGTAGGACTTGAACTCCAAGTGGGTGGTACAAACCTAGAATTTTTAGTTGAAAATATTGACTCCAATATTGTGCTTTATGAATGCTTACACTTACCCCAACCGCACAGTAACCTGTTGTGTTTTATTAATGTCTACACCTTCCCCAACCCTAAACATAACCCCACAGTAAGGGCATACTCACACTATGATATTCGAACCGTGCCCAGGCCCAATTCCTGGATTGTTTGAGAATTGTGAGTGATCTGAATCGGACTCAGGCACGGTTCACTTGGCCGGCCCTATCCCCTGTTGGAAGAGGTGTGCCAGAGCGCGGTTTACTTGGGGCTAAGCGCAGTACGCTTGTAGTGTGAGTGCAAAGTGCACCTGAGCCCGAAACAGAAGACAAGAGACTTTTACGAGACTGTTTTATATGAATTTATTAATCATACTTAAAATTCAATGAACACAAACTTTCGTACGGAAGACGGGAGGGGGGACAAGCGTGCTTCGTCCTGGTTCATGCTAACTGTACATAGTGTGAGTAGGCCCTAACATGATGTATTATTGTCTACTCCACCTACAACACCTAAACTCAATCTACTTGTGTAGTAAGTCCCTCCCACTTTGGAGGTCACCCAACCTACTTGCAGTGTAGTCCCTCTGACTTTGAGGTCTCCAGGCTGCAGTGATACCTACTTGAAAGATCAGACCAAGCAACAGTATGAGTGAATCATTTAAGTGACTGGATGATTAAGGCTGGTATGAGGATTTGAAAAACGCTGAGATTTTGTATTAAACTTTTCAGGATACACAAGAAGAGTGATCGCCTATGACACCAAAGCAAACAAATTTGTGAAGTGCACGAACATGAAGGAGAGAAGGATGCACCACGCAGCCACAGTCATCAACAACAAACTCTACGTGACCGGAGGTCGTTTTCTCAACAGTCATGATGTTATTGAGGACTCTGACTGTTTTGAGTGCTATGACCCTAAAACCGACGTCTGGACTTCCAAAGGGTCTTTACCATATAAACTGTTTGATCACGGTTCGCTACCGCTGATCTGCGTCTCCAACCGCCCCAACCCACCATGACTGCAAAAAATCTCTTGCTTGGGCGTCCCGTTCGCTCCCTTGCTCATTAAGAAAAATGAGAAATATGGGGCCACAGCTGAGACTGGAAACCATCTGAGGAAGCTCAAATTCATTTGTGGGTTGAGTACATTTCATCTGTGGCTTTGATGGTATGCTGCTGGTGCTCGCCAGCATCTGTGCCGTCGTAAATCAAACGAGATTTGAGCTGGCAATCACAAGTGTCACAGTGGACCTCAGGGATTGTGCCTAGGACCTCAGAGCAAAACGGCAGACTTATGCAATGCACAGCTGTCCCTGAAGAACTGTGACCCAAAAATCTTCAGACAGATGTTGCTCATCATGATCTCCCTCTCCCAGAACGTCTTGAGCTGACAGATTTTAGTCAATGGCTCCTTGTTAGCCTGAATTTAATTGGAATCCAGGAGATGTGACAATCTTTTAGCCGGTGTTAAATCTACAAGCATATGGACATGACGTGACTGTTTGATGAAGTAATTGGTCAAGTGAAGAAAGCATTCCTGGAGAGCTATGGCATGTGGTCACTTCTATGTAATTAACGAAGGCCAAAAACAAACCTAATGAATCATGAAATGCTTGATGTACCATGTACACTAAAAGTATGTGGACACCTGCTTCTAATTAACAGGCTTTACTATTTCAGCTACACACATTGGGAACAGATGCATAAAATCAAGCATACAGACAGACAACCTGCTAAGTGATCGTTTTCATTCTGTTCCAGACAAAATGCAGTCGACGCTGAAAAACATAAGTTAACAATAGTTTTGTTCGTACAAGAATGATCAATGAGACCTACAGCAAAATCCTGGTTAAGGACTAAAGCACTACCAACTTTGCAACTGTTTTTAAACAATACCAGATAAACATTTAAAGACAGACCTGTTGTGAGCTCTGTGGTTGTACATCGATTGTATATGCTTGTCATAAAATTATCTATTTGCATTTATTAAACTTATTTTTAAAACAGTCAATTTTATATCAGAATTTGTGGAGAAATACAAACTAGCCATGTTGCTGTGCAGACAGTTTCAACCGTTAAGAGAGTCACAGTAAGCAAGTGAAATATTTCAAAGTTATTTTCTTCAAATCAACATTTGTATTGTTGTGATTCTTTCCGTATCGGATTGGTTTGGTGGCTTGTGGCACTTGAAAATAAAACTAAAACCCTTATGGGAAAATTACTTCTAGAAAAGGCACTTTTAAAAGTGGATGGGCACTAATGCGTATGAATGCAATACTTTAAATTGAAACTCATTAAAATAATGAATAATTGCTGATTTTATATGAATAATAAGTGTATTCCAATCTTTTTAATTTGTATTCATTCATTCATTTTCCGTTGGCTTAGTCCCTGATTATGTTTATGATTATGATTATCACCATTCAATTCGAATCATAATTTTTATGTTTTATGTTATTTATGTTAAGAACTTTTTGTTATTTATGTTAAAAAGGACACGCAACTCTGTTTATTTAGAGACCAAAATATAATGGCAACAAATATATATATATATATATATATATATATTTATATATATATTTATATATATATATATATATATATATATATATATATATATATATATAATTTACCAATATTAACTCAACCAAAATAATTAATTAAACAAACAAACAAACAAACAAACATAAAACAGATCAACAAAGAATAAAATAAACAGCAACAAGACCAGCATCGCTCTTCTGCAGCGGCTGCACAGGATGCGCACAGAACTCTTAAACCTTCATCAGGACAGCAAGATGCAAGGAGATTCTCAGCAAGTATGGGTCATCCTCGCAACAAAGCAAAAAAAAAAAAGACGCTGGAAGTCTTTCTTGTGTGATCAAAATATTCTGTTTTCTGATGCCTATAAAACTGTAGTACAAATTGGAAAATCCATTGGAGTTATAACAATTGGACCTCCGGCGGCTAGCTCTCTGCAACTCTTACATGGTCACCCACTGAAGCTAAACCTGTATGGGAGACCACATGGGAAACCTAGATTGCTGCCAGAAGTAGTGTTAGTCAGACCAGCAGAGGGCACCCAACCTGCGATCTGTATGGGTCCTAACGCCCCAGTGTCGTCAGTGAAAGGAACTCTAGTCTAGTGCAGTAAGCGCCATTTTTCAAATGAGACATTAAACCGAGGTCTTGACTCTCTGTGGTCATTAAAAATCCCAGAATGTCTTCAGAAAAAAAAAAGAGTATGGGCCAAATTTGCCCACTTGCCTCTGTCCATCCCCATATCGTATCATATCAATCTGTCTCCTCTCCACCAATTAGCTGATGTGTGGTGTGCGGTCTGGCCCAATATGGCAGTCGTCGTGTCATTTAAGACATCAAGGAGATTCCCCTCTATGTGTAAAGCTCTTTGAGAGTCCAGAAAAATGCTATATAAATGTAAGGAATTATTATTATTTTTATAAAAATATGGTAGTTAATGCATTATGGGGAAAAATAAATGCAAATGTTAACAAATATATCCATAAAAATAATTATCTCTTTGTGGCTTAGATGTAAAAAAAAAAAATCAATGTTGAAAAAACAGGAAGTGCTGTTAGCAATGATTTATGTTTGCTTAATTATGTTGATCTCAAAGCTCACTGTCTGAAAAGGTCTTGTCTGCAAACTCCATTATCAAATAAAAGACAGAGGCTTGAAGATCCCTGACAAAACACAGAAAAGATCAATGGAGAGAGGATCATTCAAAATGTCCATTGCCTCCTCACATGTAAAAAAGCAGCTAGAAAACCATCTGGTGACCTTAAACTTTGATGAATAAACCAAAAACCAGGTTTATATTAAACTGAACTTAAGTGAATGAAGGAAATGCTGAAGGAGTTATTCATTTCCAAAAGCGATCGATTCAGCTTATATTTCACTGCACTTTGTCATTTGCAGGACACAACCGCAAGTAAACAACTACATACCGAGCATAACAAAAGCGCCGGACTGCAGGAGGGGCAGCATAATCGGAAGCACAGCTGGTCTCGATCTAAAAAACTCGCCGCTAACTTTAGCCATGAGCCTTTAGATAGAGAGTACACCCCTGCAGCGGAGATAGCTCTCAATAACTGTTGTCATGAGAACTACCAATCAGACGGCAGGACAGACTTGTTTTGCAATCATCATCTCAATTTATTGTCCACTCTAGACTAAAAGCATGCTCCAAGCCGGTGGAAATGGGTTTGTTTGTAAATGAACCGTCATGACTTCTAAAATCAGGCCTAATGAAACACAGGCAACATCATAATCTAAAATATTGTTAAGTTATGTAGTTATGCAATATTGCACTTATATTTACAAACAACAATGCATGGATACCATTTAAGGAGTGGGCAGAGCTAAAGACATTTAGGCACCTGATGCTCCCTGCAACTGCAAGAATTCTAAAAAATGCCCATTGACTGGTTTTAGCCTCTTCCAGGCGCTGGTCTTAGCTGGTCAGGCGTAGAATGACTAAGTATCTGTCTGCAGACAGCAAGGGGCGTACCTTGAAGGGGCCTTAGGGGCATAACGAAGTTATGGAGACATGTCAAAACTATGTTGTCAGCAAGATGGCGCTGTATATCAATTATTAACGCCTACACATACACATCTAAAGCCAACCATCACAGTTATTAAGGTACAGCCACGAGTTGCAGAAGCTTTCATACTTGATGCGCTCGCCCATGAACAGTTATTTGCATGCACAGCAGTCAATGCAGAGTTGCATGGTGACATCGCTAAATGAATGTATATAATAATATATCAAATTCATATTGGTTGTGGGTACATTTGGAGAAAACTCATGAAAACATTTGATGAAAATGTTCTCAGGAAATTTTTTCCGCCATCTTGCCAACAACATCTCCTTGTGACATCTCACATGGTTCAATAAGATTTCGATAACTGCAAGTTACACTTCTAACTCAGTACAAGTTACGCTCCTTCATCTTACACCCCTATATTGCAGTCCACAGACAGATGTACTAGTGGTTTAATGGGATCTCGATAACAGCAAGTTACGTCTCCAACTTACTACAAGTTACGCCCTTCCATCTTACACCCCCGTCTTGCAGTCCGCAGACAGATTCACTTGTGGCTTAATAGGATCTCGATAACTGCAAGTTACGCCTCAACTTTTGCCCCCCTCTTGTAGTCCAAAGACAGATACACTTGTGGTTCAATGGAATCTTGTTAACTGCAAGTACACACAGGGCCGGATCAAGCTGAACTGCCGCTCTAGGCAAAGGAAGGTCACGGCGCCCTCAACCCAGTGAAATGGGGGGGTTATGGGGGGGAGGTGTCATGGACGCCGCCCTCTTTTTTTCTGCCACTCTAGACGTGGATATAACTGAGGGCACGGATGGTGAGCGTAGTGTCGCAGACGCTGCACTCTCTATTCTTCCACACTAGATGCAGATATAACTGAGAGTGCGATTGGTGAGCGTAGTGTCGCTGACGCCGCCCTCTCTATTCTGCCGCCCTAGGCGCAGATATGAGGGTAGTGTCGGGGATGCCGCCCACTCTATTCTGCCGCCCTAGGTCGCCTCTATGGATGCGCCGGCCCTGAGTGGACCATGACTACAAGTTATGCCCCTTCATCTTATGCCCCCATCTTGCAGTCTGCAGACAGATACACTTGTGGTTCAATGGGATCTCAATAATTGCAAGTTACACCTCTACTACAAGTTATGCCCCTTCTTTTTACGCCCACGTCTTGCAGTCCGCAGACAGATGCACTTGTGGTTCAATGGGATTTTGATAACAACAAGTTACGCCTTTCCTACAAGTTACGCCGCTTCATTTTACGTCTCCGTCCTGTAGTCTGCAGACAGATACACTTGTGGTTCAATGGGATTTCGATAACAGCAAGTTACGCCTTTCCTACAAGTTTTGCCGCTTCATTTTACGTCTCCGTCCTGTAGTCTGCAGACAGATACACTTGTGGTTCAATGGCATCTTGATAACTGCAAGTTACGCCTCTACTACAGGTTAC